CAGCAACAGACAGTACACCTACACTCACCACCCACAACACCCAGCAACTGACGGTACACCTACACTCACCACCCACAACACCCAGCAGCAACAGACGGTACACCTACCCTCACCACCCACAACACCCAGCAACAGACGCACCTACACTCAACACCCAGCAACAGAGTCACCTACACTCACCACCCACCCACAACACCTAGCAACAGACGGTGCACCTACACTCACCACCCACAACACCCAGCAACAGACGGCACCACTCACCACCACAACACCCAGCAACAGACGGTACACCTACACTCAACACCCAGCAACACGTGCACCTACACTCACCACCACCCACAACACCCAGCAACAGACGGTACACCTACACTCACCACCCACAACACCCAGCAACAGACGGTACACCTACACTCACCACCCACAACACCCAGCAACAGACGGTACACCTACACTCACCACCACAACACCCAGCAACAGACGGTACACCTACACTCACCACCCACAACACCCAGCAACAGGGTACACCTACACCACCACCCACAACACCCAGCAACAGACGGTACACCTACACTCACCCACCCACAACACCCAGCAACAGACGGTACACCTACACTCACCACCCACAAAACCCAGCAACAGACGGTACACCTACACTCACCACCCACAACACCCAGCAACAGAGGGTACACCTACACTCACCACCCACAACACCCAGCAACAGACGGTACACCGTACACCACCACCCATAACACCCAGCAACAGAGGTACACCACCACCCCACAACACCCAGCAACAGACGGTACACCTACACCACCACCCATAACACCCAGCAACAGACGGTACACCTACACTCACCACCCACAACACCCAGCAACAGACGGTACACCTACACTCACCACCCATAACACCCAGCAACAGACGTACACCTACACTCACCCCCACAACACCAGCAACAGACGGTACACCTACACTCACCACCCACAACACCCAAGCAACAGACGGTACACCTACACTCACCACCCACAACACCCAGCAACAGACGGTACACCTACACTCACCACCCATAACACCCAGCAACAGACGGTACACTCCATACCCCACCACCACAACACTCCAGCAACAGACGGTACACCTACACTCACCACCCACAACACCCAGCAACAGACGGTACACCTACACTCACCACCCACAACACCCAGCAACAGACGGTACACCTACACCACCCCACAACACCCAGCAACAGACGGTACACCTACACTCACCACCCATAACACCCAGCAACAGACGGTACACCTACACCCCCCCCCACCTCTCTCTACCTGCCAAAAAATAGTCATCACTTAAAGATTAGACAACCCCACCTTAATTCATCTGATGATTGAACACCCTAACACTACCTGCGGGGTTAGGTTAGGTTATCTTTAAGGTGTTTAATCATCAGGTGAATAAACTTGAGGGTCTATTCTTCAGGTGATCCCCCTCCCCCCAAAAATGTAAAAGTTGGTAAAATACGGTATTAGTTAAAACTTGATTATACCTAAATTTTTACCCAAAATGAATGAAATGTTGCGACAAATGTAGAAATTGACACACACACAAACACACCATCTCCTCCCCCCCCCCCACTCCATACAAGCTCCCAGCCACACAGTTCCGGCGGCCATAAGAACTTGTACACATAAAGGCCAGAAACAGACACAAGTAGGTATACACACAGCAACTTACACGTCTCGGGATTATCTTGAAGAAAAAAACTCAGACGACTACAGTTTGCACCTCATTATCTCAGTGTTGCCAAACGCTACTCCTTGCTTTATTCTTTCATGTTTTCGGTAAATAATGGTAAATTTTCATTTTTAGGCACTTTATATGCCTAAAACATTTTACCTTTCTCCTCAAATAACTTATAATAGCTGAGAGGCTAGTTGTGGCTGGATCCTAGTTGTAGAAATGTAAAGGGAAATTTACTAGGCTAGAAACTGTAGCTGGAATGAGTAGGGTAAGCGAGGTGACAACGGAGTTAATCACGAGCTCCGCCGCCAGAGGACAGGTTGAGCATGCCCCAGGGATCACTATAGAGAGGCTGAGAAGCGTGGAAGAGGGACAATGGCGTGGAAGCTGGCGAGTAGGAGGGAGGGAGCTTCTGAGTCGAACTTTTCCAGAATTCGAACTTGAGCGTTGTCAAGTTAGTAAGGAACTTTGTTCTTTCCTGTAGTCGAGGAGGAACGGTGTTTGACCTGATTCTTCTGAATATAAAAATTATGGCGACATTCATACTTTACGAAAAAAATCAATCATCTAAGAAGGAAACAAAGATAATAAATAAAAAAAGCAAAAGCAAAATGTAAACAAACACTCATCTCTGCCGAGGTAACGTCTATCTGACACATTTCCGACATCTCTTCCACATAAAGTAGAATCAACTCACTACTTCTCCGTCACACTGAGACATATTTACGATCATTATGAGAGACATCTTATATCTGCCTTAAGACTCCCGGGGAAAATCACGGCCATCACATCCTGCCACACAAAAGAAGAAATACATGAAATTACGTCCCTTCCGGTCAACGGCAGCTATGGTTACACCATCAATTCAATGCCTCACTTAATGTTGTCCAGTTCGTGTTCAGATTACCGCGTATTTTAGAGAAACTTTCATTCACGGAGTACCGTACTATTTTCTTCTAATAGATTTAAATGACAATACGTTTGTTTGTTTAGTAATAGTGATTTGCATGCCATGTTCGTAAGCTTTTTGAAAGAAATTATATACAGTAGCTTGATTTAATTCAATCACTGTATATGGGGCTTCTGTGGGGTACGATACCCCGACTGACAACCTGACCAGGTCCCGTACTGTGAGTAAGAATCTTGACATATGTTTATCTTGAATTTATACAGTATTTACTCAACATACGTTTAGCTGAGAATTGACTCTTTAAAAAATTCTTAAGCAGCTTGAACTTAAATTAAGAAGCTAGTGTGCTTTATATGTGCACAGTAATAAACAAAACCAATTAAATTAATCACCGTTTGCTATTTTTTTTTACTAAAAAATACACACGCACATACACACAAGAGATACCTATCACAGAAGAAAAAACAGAACCTTTTAAGAATTATCACATCCTATCTTTAAGAACATGTCACCTGCTATCCCGAGGGAGGAGGCAGGTGCCACACAATATCCAGGAGCAGGAAGGTGTAGGAGAGCTTTTATTTTTCCTATACAAGATATGTCATGTGACACCCCCGTAAGAGGAAAAAGAGGAGGAGGAGGAGGAAGTAGTAATAAAGTGAATGGTGGAAGGAGAGAAAGGAAAAGGGAGAGGAATTGGAGACTGTGTTTATGTTGGTTATATTGCGGCAGTGAGTCTCTCTATCACACACACACACACTACTTACTACTACTCTGCTGTCACTTGGAATCGAGTATGACGATCATCCAGCCGTGATGCAATGATAGGAGTTATTTAAAGATGTCACCTTCGTTGGTGAGCTCTGAGGTGACTCGAGAGGCCGATGCGGGGCCGGCAGGGCAGTCCATAGATGTTGGACGTGTGTAGGGCTATATCTAGTGCGGCAGCGTCTTTCCGACGCTGGCGCTAGTCTGCCTCGGTACGCAGTCGGGCTAACTCGAAAGTATTGACACTTTCTCGTGTGGTGCTCCTCCAACCGTAACGGTGTGGCGTCTTTATCTCCCAGGTGAAGGGGTCGATTTGGCACATTTTCAGGTTTGTTTTAAGACTATCTTTATACCTTTTTCAGTTGCTCGCGAACGTTACGTTTACCATTCGTTATGTGATTGTAAAGTAGCTCATTTGGCAGTCTACTGTCATCCATGCGGGAATCATGGCCAGTCCAACGTAGTTGTTCAAGGATGATAGCCTCGATGCTCCTACAGTTGGTGTCAGCAAGAATACTGTCATTTGTTCTCCTATCTTTCCAGCGAACTCGAAAAATGGAACATAGACTACGTTGGTGAAAGTTTTCAAGTGCCTTGAGGTACCTTCTGTATGTGACCCATGTCTCGCTGCCAAATAACAGGGTGGGTAGGCTCACTGCTCGATATACGTGCAACTTTGTAGATATTTCAGCTCCCTACAGCTGCTGACACGGGTACGGAGTCTGCCAAAGGCTTGAGATGCACATCTGACCCGATGTTGAATCTTTTCAGCGATGTCTGCGGTGGTGGACAGATGGGAGCCAAGATACTGAAAGTGGGTAACATTAGAGAGGGAACTACCTTAACCTGGATGGATGGTGGATATGTGGCTGAACCAGGGGCAAGCTGAAAGCGAGTCTAAGTCTTATGTACAGTTAGCCAAAGATGCATCGACCCCCACCCTGACTCTCGTACTCACAATTTTACCTGGCAATACTTGGTGAAATAAGATTATGTAATGTGATTGTGATTGGTTGATCTATTTTCGGCTGTATCACTGTCAGGGTAAATATTAAATAATCCAAAGGTAGAAGTTTTATAATTATAAACTATTCATCGTTATTTAAGCTCATTATAATTTTCCAAATGTTCGTTTATTTGCCAAAATAAAGAAGAAATTCATTTAATGAATTGGCAGTTCAACTTCAACCAGAACTGCCACAAGATTCCGAGATCAAAATTTCTTCGTTATTTAAGCAAATATGCGAAAATCTGGAAAATTATCATAATCTTAAATAACGATGAATAGTTTATAATTATAAAACTTCTACCTTTGGATTATTTAATATTTACCCTGACAGTGATACAGCCGAAAATAGATCAACCAATCACAATCACATTACATAATCTTATTTCACCAAGTATTGCCAGGTAAAATTGTGAGTACGAGAGTCAGGGTGGGGGTCGATGCATCTTTGGCTAACTGTATATTCACCTCAAGGCCAAATGTGCATACGCATCTGCACAGGTGTTCCGGATCTCATGTAAGTCGCATTCAGTGTGAGCGATGAGGGTGAGGTCGCATGTACTGAAGTTCAGTAATGGAAACTGTGGACACCTTTCTGTCTGCCTGGAGTTGTCTTATGTTGAAAAGTTCACCTCATCTGATGCTAGGTGTCCACCCAGCCGGCTAAATTGGCACTGGCACGAGTAAGGAAGGCAGCCAAGAAAATGAAAAAGAGAGTTGATTTACCCCCGTTGATTGTTTTACCCCCGTTTGCAAGGGGAAGAACTCAGGCTGGGTGCCATTGTGCAGGACACTGCCGTTCATGCTACCATGGAATTGCCTCACAACGGCAATGAATTTTGGTGGGAAACCAAAACGGCTGAGGGTCTGCCAGAGGGCTTCCCTGTTGACCGAGTCGAGGGCGTTAGTAACGTCGATGAAGGCATTGTACAGGTCACGACGCTGTTCTCTGCACTTTTCCTGTATCTGGCGGGTAGCAAAGATCATGTCAGTGGTGCCACGTGATGGTCTAAACAGTGATTCCCAACGTGGGGCCTACGCCCCACTGGGGGGCAATTCAATAATAATAGGGGGGCAATATGAAAAATATAGTAATATCAACATTTTTTTTTATTTTACCCTATATGGGTAAAAATTATAAATTTATAGGGTAAAATTGTAATTACAACCTAGCTGAGCACAACAGCTTGTGCAATCTAGTCAAGTGTTCACCCACTAATGTTATCGTGCATCTGGCACCAGCTATATGCGTGGCTTCTGACTTGTTTAACTTTGCAGTTCTTCATCTGCTGTCAAGGAAGAAGGTGAGTTTTAGTCAGCTGCTCAACGCTCCCACTGAAGCTAAAAAAACAGAGGAAACTAACTACAACCAAATTAAATGTGCACAATAAAGCATGGAAGCAGTATTGAATTAAACACAAATGCAAGTTTCATGTTGATATAGTTATCTGTCTCTGTTTTTTAGCTTCACTGAGAGGGCTGGTTAAAGTGCTTTTCATTATGATTATTGATCTTGTTATTCTCTGAAAATAATGTATAAAAATAATCATTCATTGATCTTGTCACAGTAACATTAATTTAAAACTGTGAATATAAAGCTCAATATTTACTTGAAATGGAAACTGCATATTGACATTGTGCCTTGTATGTTACAGAAGTTAGATATTAAATTTATTTTCCTAAGTATATAAATATTTTATTTTCACTTTTCAGTTACCCCCATGATGCATAAAATGAACAGTGTGCACGCCAAAAAAAAAGTTCGCCAGTATTCAGATGAGTACTTGCTGTTTGGGTTCATACCAGCGACTCATGATGAAAGGTTGCCTTTTTGTCTGTTGTGCCACCAATGTTTGACTAATGAATCCATGAAGAGAGGTCGTCTCGAAAATCATTTGAAGGCAAAACACAGTATTCATGTTAATTCAAAACTGGAGTATTTTAAATCCCTAAAGGAGAAGTTTGAAAAAAGATCAACAATAAATTCATTGTTCTCTGCAAGAAGTGCAAGCAAGGATCGTGGTCTTGAGGCTAGTTATGAAATTTCTCTTCTCATAGCAAAATGTGGCAAAAATCATACAATAGGGGAGAATTTAATTAAGCCCGCAATATCAACTTTTCTGAAAGTAGTTCTTGAAAAAGATGACCAAGATCTCAAAAGCATGCCGCTCAGTAATAATACTGTTAGTAGCAGGATTGATGAAATGAGTTGTGATGTAGAAGTACAACTTGTTGAAAAATTAAAATATACAAATTTTTCAATACAGTTGGACGAATCAACTGTAAGAGATAGTGAAGCTCTGTTAATGGCCTATGTAAGATATGTTGATAATGGAGAATTTATTGAGGATATGCTATTTTGCGAAGCATTAGAAACCACCACTATTGCAATTGATATATATAGGAAATTAAAAACATATTTAGATAAGCAGATACCAATGGAGAACATTATATCTTGTGCTGCAGACGGTGCTCCAGTGATGATGGGCAAGAAAAATGGAGTTTTAAAATTATTGAAAGACGACAATCCCCAAATGTTGTTAGTGCATTGTGTTATTCATAGACAGAATTTAGTTTCCAAAAACGTTTCCCCTGTTCTAAACGAGACATTGAATGCAGTTATAAAATGCATCAACACTATAAAAGCTAATGCCAAATGTGAGCGTCTTTTCAAACAATTTTGCAAGGATCAAAATGCAGACGATGTAAGATTATTACTTCATACTGATGTAAGGTGGTTATCAAATGGGAATTGCCTGAAAAGATTCATGGAATTATTTGATATTCTTAGTGAGTTCTTGGATGACAAACCTTATATGACTCTGTTACTGACAGTTGATGGTAAAGCACTTGTCAGTTATTTAGCAGATATATTTGAAAAACTCAATGTCTTAAATAAGGAGCTCCAAGGAACAAATATGACTTGTTAATTCAAAGGCCAAGATATTTGGCTTTATATCATTTCTGGAATTATCCCAAGAAAATATTTCTGTCAAAATATTTGAACAATTTTATTGGCTGAATAAATGTGAGGTAACAGATGCTACTTGTCTTGTTATTGTGGAGCACTTAAAAATAATGGTAAGCGATTTCAACTTCAGATTTTCTGATTTGAAAGAAATTAATTATCCATCTTGGATGACTCAGCCATTGCTAGTGGATCTGTCAGATGTAACCATGGAGTATCAAGGAGAACTTTCAGAATTACAAAATGATGACTCGATTAAAGCCCTGTTCAAAATAAAAGGAACAATGATGTGGCTCTGTGAAGAAACACAAGCTAAATATCCAAATACAAGTAGTTTGGCAAGATCACTACTGTTACCATTCCCATCGTCATACTTAGTGGAATGTGGATTTAGTGCTGTGAATGACTTATTACTGAAGAAAAGAAACCGACTGGATATCACTAAACGAGGCGACTTGAGATTGAAATTAACAAAATTTCTGCCTCGGATAAAATCTCTTTGCAGTAGACATCAGGCTCAAGGGTCTCATTAATTGATTGTAATTGAATTTATTTAATGTGATGGTAGATATGTTATACACATTATAAAATGGATTTTATTTGATTAAATTTGAAGTTAAACCCTTTAGTTTTATTTGAAAGATACAATTTTTTATGTTATACTTCTTCAAAACTGATATAGTTATATCATACTAAACAATTAACGGGTGGGGGACATGAAGAAATTTGTGATAAAAAAGTGGGGCATGGTACTAAAATGGTTGGGAACCACTGGTCTAAAGCCACATTGAGATTTTGGGAGGAAGTTTTCCGCCTCAGGAAGAAGTCTGTTTAGGAGAACTCGGGCGATAATCTTGCCAGCTACGGACAGAAGCAATCCCACTAAAGTTCCCACAGTCTGACCAGTCTCCCTTGTTCTTATAACGATGGAAACATCTTTAAGAGGTTGGAGGATTTCCTCCGTTTCCCATACATTCTCCAGGAGAGAATGGAGACGGCTGGAAAGCAGATGGCTCCTGCTTTTTACACTTCGGCTGGGATTCCATCAATCACTGAGGCTTAGTTATTTTTCATCTGTTTGATGACAGTAGCTACCGCATCCAGGGATGGAGAATAGCTGAAGTGGGTCAGCTTTGAGTGCTGAGGGACCTGCTGGGTAGTCAGGACATGCACATCTGTGTTTGGTTGAGCAGCGAATGGCAGTGCTCTTCCCAGCGCTTATGGATGCCTCCTTTGTCTTTAATTAAGAAGTTAACCGTTGGAAGAGCGGAGGGAGGCTATGTCATGGGTAATTGGGCCACATATTGTTTTAGTGGAAAAGAAAAATTCACACACACACACACACACACACACACACACACACACACACACACACACACACAACATCCTTGACCACCGAAGGGTCAAGACGTACCTGGCGCTCCTCTCGGAGCAGCCAGGTCAACTGTTAAGTTGGCCCATACCAACCCCCTCCCCTGAACCCTCCTCCCCACAGGAATATCAACAAGTTCTCGCCAGAAGTTACAATTTCATTTATGAAAGGAACGGAACCAGTGTTAAGCAGAGGTGAACAGTGGTGAACAGTGCTTAAGTGAGTGAGAACAACTCAACAGTAACAGTCGTACCCAAGTTAACCTTCACACAGTGAGGTCCCAGGTACCCAGTGATAACGGCCCCCGTGAGACCCAACAACAACCACCGATGTGTTAATCCATCTACGATAGGAAGGCCTGGGACCAAACCTCACTCATATAACACCATCTGTGAGGGAATTACTACACCACATGTCCCTCATAACACCATATGTGAGGGAATTACTACACCACGTCAAGTCCCTCATCACACCATCTGTGAGGGAATTACTACACAACGTGAGGTCCCTCATAACACCATCTGTGAGGGAATTACTACACCACGTCAGGCCCCTCATAACACCATCTGTGAGGGAATTACTACACCACGTGATGCCCCTCATAACACCATCTGTGAGGGAGTTACTACACCACGTGAGGCCCCTCATAACACCATCTGTGAGGTAATTACTACACCACGTGAGGTCCCTCATAACACCATCTGTGATGGAATTACTACACCACGTGAGGCCCCTCATAACACCATCAGCGAGGGAATTACTACACCACGCCAGGTCCCTCATAACAACATCTGAGGGAACTACTACACCACGTGAGTTCCTCCTAACACCATCTGGGAGGGAGTTACTACACTACGAGTTTGCTGTTCAACACCTACATTAATCTGTATGTTCACTGTATGTTCCTTTACCTTTCTCTAATGAAGGCTTTTGTTAAACCACCAATGTATGTAATAAGTCATTTATATCCAATGTATATTTTCAGCCTTCGGGCTGCAGAATTTTTTCAATAAACCGTTAATTATTATTTATTATTATTACACACACACACAAACACACACACACACACACACACACACACACACACACACACACACACACACACACACACACACACACACACACACACACACACACACACACACACACACACACACACACACACACACACACACACACACACACACACACACACACACACACACACACTACATCCTTGACCACCGAAGGGTCAAGACGTACCTGGCGCTCTCGAAGCAGCCAGGTCAACTGTTAAGTTGGCCATACCAACCCCCTCCTGAACCTCCTCCCCACAGGAATATCAACAAGTTCTCGCCAGAAGTTACAATTTCATTTATGAAAGGAACGGAACCAGTGTTAAGCAGAGGTGAACAGTGGTGAACAGTGCTTAAGTAGTGAGAACAACTCAACAGTAACAGTCGTACCCAAGTTAACCTTCACACAGTGAGGTCCCAGGTACCCAGTGATAACGGCCCCGTGAGACCCAACAACCACCACCGATGTGTTAATCCGTCTACGATAGGAAGGCCTGGGACCAAACCTCACTCATATAACACCATCTGTGAGAATTACTTCACCACATGTCCTCATAACACCATATGTGAGGGAATTACTACACCACGTCAAGTCCCTCATCACACCATCTGTGAGGAATTACTACACCACGTGAGGTCCTCATAACACCATCTGTGAGGGTACTACACCACGTCAGGCCCCTCATAACACCATCTGTGAGGGAATTACTACACCACGTGATGCTCCTCATAACACCATCTGTGAGGAGTTACTACACCACGTGAGCCCTCATAACACCATCTGTGAGGTAATTACTACACCACGTGAGGTCCTCATAACACCATCTGTGAGGTAATTACTACACCACGTGAGGCCCTCATAACACCATCAGCGAAATTACTACCACGCCAGGTCCTCATAACACCATCTGAGGAACTACTACATCACGTCAGGTCCCCCTAACACCATCTGGGAGGAGTTACTACACTACGTGTTTGCTGTTCAACACCTACATTAATCTGTATGTTCACTGTATGTTCCTTTACCTTTCTCAAATGAAGGCTTTTGTTAAACCACCAATGTATGTAATAAGTCATTTATATCAATGTATATTTTCAGCCTTCGGGCTGCAGAATTTTCAATAAACCGTTAATTATTATTTATTATTACACACACACACACACACACACACACACACACACACACACACACACACACACACACACACACACACACACACACACACACACACACACACAACCCACACACACACACACACACACACACACACACACACACACACACACACACACACACACACACACACACACACACACACACACACACACAAACACCAGGAAAGTGCACGGCCTCAAGGAAGTCGGCATCGGTCAATGGTACTCCAAGGTAAAAGATCTTTGTGGCCTCAACCGTCAGTCTACCACATTTAATTTCATCTTACATTTACCTAGTGAGGAGGCAGCTGAAATAATTAATGACCATTTTGCTACCATATGTCATACCTCACCCAGTCTTGACCTCACTCTCCTCCCGGCTTACTTTCCTTCCCCCTCCCAGTGTTCAAACATATGAAATCGCCAACAAACTCCTGAAATTCAAATCCAAACGCTCCACGACCAAAAATTTACCTCCCAATTAAAATATTCAAGGAGTTTGCAGTCGAACTTGCCAAACCCCTCTGTTCTATTATTAATGCATCCCTCAGACAAAGCAAATGCCCTAATGAATGGAAAACCGCATTTGTCACCCCCATCCCCAAGGTCACCACCCCACAGTCCCCTAACGACCTCAGGCCAGTTGCCATTACCCCCATACCCAGTCTACTCTGTGAGGATTTTGTTTTTGAGTGGGCATTTGTCAGAATCTATCTGTCAATTGATCCACAGCAATTTGGCAATATGAGGACCTCCTCTACACCACACTGCTTAGTGAGCTTTCTGGATTTTCTGCACAAAAACCTGCAGAAACGTAAGACATCACTGGCCGTTGCCCTTGTTGACTTCAGGAAGGCCTTTGACCTTGTTGATCACTGCACTGTTATCAACAAGGCCATTGCACTAGGGCTGCCCACCAACCTGGTCTCATGGCTCACTGATTTCTTGAGTGGACGTCGTCAGGCAGTGAGGTATCAGGGCTCGGTCTCCACATTCCAACACCTCACCTGCGGTGTTCCCCAGGGGACCAAGATGGGAGCACTGTGCCTCCTCATCCTGATCAACGACGCTCTATCGGACACTCCTCACAGGTGGAAGTATGTGGATGACTGCACTGTGGGGGTTTCAGTGGACAACACCGCACCAGACTACTCATCACTACAAGGCACCCTGGACAGGCTACAGGCATGGACTACGGACAACAAGGTCACCATCAACCACACCAAAACCATAGTCATGCACATCAATACCGCCACCATTCCAAGAAAGCCCCAGCAGTCACAGTGGGTGCCCATCCTCTCCAGCTGGTGCAGTCTGCCAAACTCCTGGGTGTAACTGTAGACAACAAACTGGACTGGAAAGCCTATGTAAATAACACAG